ACTGTCTATAGGGTCTGGAGCCGATCGCTTTCGAGGCTTTGGGCGGAACTTCAAGCGTCATGCTGGTTTCCAATAGAGTCGAATGCGTCATGATCAAACGAGACTTCTTTCTAGCCAACTGCTCATTAACCTACATCAATTGGCTTCGCCTACAGGTAGGTCCACGTGACTTCTTTTATCTACCACCAACACAGGTTCAGCGGTTCCCGGAACCGGACGCAGTCCTTCAAAGCATACGCCTCTGGGACGAAGGGCTTTCCCTAAAAAAATGGATGATTATCGATTTCCGTAAAAATGAGGAGAAGCGACGTCTTTTCGAAAAATTACACTCGATATTTAAAAGATAACCCAGAACTCACTCGCTCAGATGTTTTTGTTTGCTTGTTGTTGTTGTCGTCGATTGTTATCTTCTGTTTGCAAAGATCAGCTCTCCGAAAATGTTGATCCCCAAGTGAAGTTGTCATCTGAGTCATGCCTAAGGATGCAATTTTATCCCATCCTTTGGACATCATTCCTTTTCCAACGAACTTCAAATATCAAAAAAAAACATTCTCCGCTCCCACACGTTATGAGCTCGACGTGGATTTAAATTCTTTGGCCCTGTCCGAACTCCTCTTCACCGGTTACTTACCCGACCCGATTATGTTCTTTTTTCTGGTTGTCAAGCCTACTTAATGGTTTACCGTTAAAGTATTTTTTACCTCAGCCTTTTCGATTTGAGGGGATTGGCTAAATTGGTGTGGCATCCATTGATCTGGCCTGAGGATAGGACGCAATGAGGGCATGCAATTTCGCCTTGAAACCCCTGCCTAGAAGTGTTTTGGGCAGGGGAAAACCCATGAGTAATCGGTGCTGGGACCAAGTCTTGTGTGGCATTGGCAGACGGACCGTATAACTCTGTAAGCCGCCGTGTCCAATCCAACAGCCAGTTGGCGGAGAGGCTCGGACAGTCGACTTGCGCAGGGCACAGGAAAGCATGAATGAAAAGAACACTCGGGAATATACCCTCACGACAAACCTGTCAGTAATGGTTGAGTGGCGTGAGGGGAGATACCACTGGCAGTAGAAGTAGGGACAGATGTTGGGAAGGGAGTATGGGTTCTGTGAATCCTAGAGGGACTGCTCGGTTGGATTTAGAAGGAACCATAGCCTGGGCTCGATGGACTGTGAGTGGTTGAAGATCTCAATATCGCTTTACGGCAGGACGTCGGTGACTAAATTCTCCATATCGTGGTCCCATAAGATGACACAGGAAAATTCAATAGAAGTCGAACAAGGTTTTCCGATGATTGAACTCAGCCATATCTAGAATTTACGATGTCAGATCACATCGGGGTCACCAGGATCGCAGTGGGTTAAGTTATTAGGTAAAACCCTTGACGTTGCGATCTTCACGGCCGGTTCCTTGTGAGAAGGGAAGAAGTGAGACGTCAAGTGGGAGGAATAGAGTATCATGTGCAGAAATGGTGGAGCATAGATAGGAGGATGTTGACTGTCAGACGAGTGCACGTCCGTCCGCGAGGAGGCCAGATCCGAAGTGTCATCATAATAAGGTCTTGTGTGAGTCAGTCTCACGGAAGGTGATTGGCCAGACCGGATTGGGGGAGGCAGGCGCTGGTTTGCGCGCACTTCCTAGTCATCGTGAGGGGTTGAACATTGGCGCGGTTTGCGGCACCTGTGATTGGCTGTCCCAGAGGTGGATCAAGCCCCGCAAACACGTGACCTTATGCATGGCCTGGCGCGAAGGTGGAAGACACTGT